GCTGTCGGTGAAGACTACGGCAACAAAGGGAAGTAGGTTGGTGAATTCACTTTTTTTATGTCTTTTTTTTTTATTATTTTTTTCCACCTACTTGTTTCTTTTATTTGCCGCTTTCCCCGGCTGGCGGGACCGCTCCCTCCCCGCCGCGGGCTGCCCCCTCAGCCCGGTGGGCCGGCTCTTGAGGGAAAGGGAAGGTAAAAACCGGCTGTTTTGTGCGAAAATACACGTTGCCTGTGAGCCAGGGGCGTCTTTTTCCCTCACGGATCCCCTCAGGAAAAGACTTTGGAGGTTGTCGTGGTGCTCCCGAGTCGCACCTGTTATTTTATTCCCTCCCGCCCTGAGGCTTCGTGTGTGAAGCAAAAGTGAAAAGAAATCCCCGAAAATGTGGGTTGTGAGACACTGATGCTTCAGGAGCCATCGCAGCCTGTGCCCATAGAAGAACACTTTGGAATTTTAATGTTGATTATTGACAACAGTGTTTATAAATAGAATATATGATGAAAAGGCTGAGGACCCCTCGCTATCCAGCGGGGCTGTAATAGGAAGAGCTTTAAGTGCCAGGTGATGACAGGAGCTCTGCTTACAGCGGCACGTAAGGAAAACCCAGCACACGTTCATTAATGAGGAACTGTGAGAGAGTGTGTGTATTAAAAGTGCTTTTCCCTATCGCTGACATAAAATTGGGAATATTTCGGACACTTGACTCTCTCAAGGGGTGCAAAATTATCCGACGCAAGTCATATTCATCGCCGCTTTCTGTGTTCCATTTGCTCTGATCTCTTTATTAATAATCTTTACTAATATACTAAATGGCAAACAAATGCAATGAAATCCCATGCGCAGGAGGAGGGCTGACCAAGAACAGTGGTTTGGCCAAAAACCCTGGGACTGGAAAGCCCTAGGCGCCCTTTAAGAGCAGGCCAGAAGGTGCCGTGCATAGGCATTATTACTAAATATTTTTATGCTTAATAGACATCTTTTAAATATTTAAAACCAGCTGTAATGGAGTGCTTGTAAAAGTCAGGGCCAGTTTGTATGCTTGTAGTATTATGTTCCTGTTTCCCATTAACTAACAGCTGTTGTTGTTTTTTTTGGGGACAGTGGGAATAAGAGAAAGAAAAGAAACGAGCTCCAGACCCTGTGTGTTGCTGGAGGAAAACCACGAGATCTTGACAAGTGAGTTTCTCTAAATTTCGGTAGGCTTCGAAAGTTCTCGCTGAAAACCGCTAATAGGTAAGGCTCTGATTTTGCAACATTTGCTCATCCAGTCTCTTTGTCCCTCTAAAAGTCGGTGAGAATTTGACAATTGATTTAAGTGATGTCAGGGCTGTGCTACTCCAGCTTCGTCCAGGACAGATTGTAGAGACTTGGCACTCTTAGTGACCAGTGCCACCCTCCGTTCACTGCTGTTCCAACTGGACAGGTAGACCTGCCTCATACTGCAGTCTTCTTTTCACATTAACCCCTTTTTTTCTAGTTCAGAAATCGTACGTTTAGAAATGTTAGTTTTCGAGAAAGGAACTGGGAGGGAAGAGAAAAAAAAAAAAAGCCAGCTCCAGAAAGAAAAGAAAAACTTTCAGTGCATTTTCTGTGCCCAGTGAGCAGGTGTTTGGACATCACCAGCCACGCTTTTTTCAGGCTATGCTGAAAATGTTTCTCATGCTGATATGCCAGCGGATTACATGGCTCCCCAGCCAGTCTGTAAAGAAAGATGAGCTTGCTTTGTTTGTTGTCTTCCTTATTTGTCATAGCTGCTGTGTTTTGTTTTAAATTGGATCGTTTTTTTACAAGAGGGACTCTCTTTACTGAAGCTTTTTGTACAGTGCTTGGCATGGAGAGGAAGGTACTATTTACATATGAAATAGGGAAATTTCTTGTACGCAGCAGTAGTATCTTAAGATATCAGTATCTGAAGCAGCATCTTAAGATAGATGCATTAAAATGCGCCCTGATTGCTTCCATTTGTACATATGCTTCCCCAGCCACACATGAAAAAAACCCCTTTGTCTTTGCTGTGGTAACTTACTCTCTCAGGGATAGAACTGCAGTTTAATAATTTTTCTGCACTTAACTTGCTGTTGCCTGTAACTGTTCTGGTAGAACTTGTATTCTTTCTTACAATGGAGTTGGAAATTCTGTTAAGTTCAATATTGTCACTAGAAAAAATACCATCCTGTCTAGTAGTACATTCATCTTGCCCTGGGAGATATCTGTAGTTAATGCCTTTTTACCCAATTCCTGTGTAAAGTTCACACAAGAGGTACCGAACTTTGAGCAGAAAAGGAGCTTAAGCTGGTGACCTGCAGCTTACGTTGCTTTTTGGTCACGTACAGCACCAGGTTTTCTTCATGAATGTTGTTGGAGCCAGGACTGAAAAATAACACCTTTGTAAAAATCAGTCTAGGTCGATGCAATAGAAGGAGTAGGGAGAGAAGATGTCTCGAGCTGGTTTGAACTGTGTTTTTGCTCGCTGGCCCAAATGATGTTAATTATGGTTAAATTAGGGCTGATACTGGAATCACTTTGCACTATCTGGTCATTTTATGGCCAGAAGAAGTGAAAATACCTTTATGTTCAGTAGACTACGTAATCAGAACTTTCCTTCCTTGAGATGCTTGTGGTTCTGGGGAGCAACCAGTATTGTGTGGGGGAAACCATCACAGCAGCTGCTGTTAACACAATTAACTAGTTGTCGTCTTACTTTCAGGATTGAACGAGAGATGAGGTTTCACATTTTGCTTTGAAATATGTGTAGTTACCCAAGTAGTGGTTCTTTCCTTCAAATATCTAGAAGCAATAGGGCTAAGGGACCTGGGTGACAATTTTTGCTTTTTGCAGTGCCTGTGATGGAAGAGCAGGTGATGGTCGAGTGATTCATAGATTATTTAGAGCTCTTGATGGTCAATTTTAAAATTTTTTTTTTACTTCTTTGAAAGTGATCACTTTAAAGCATTTGCAGTAACATCCATGACATAGTGATAACTTTATAAGCTTTTAAAATATATATGTGATTTTATTTTTTGTACAACATATGGAAGCGTTTTCTGCCAGTTTCTTACTGAGAGAAGTGGTTGAGCTATGAACAGCAAACTTATGTTGCACCTTTAAAAGAGTAACATGGACTGTGTTTCGTTAAACCGTATGTTTAATAGTATGGATAGTGTAGGCTTACGTCAAGTAAATGATTTTAAAAGGTTTTTTTCTTCTTCAGTCAGAAACTTGGGGAATAAACTAGATAACTTTGATCGTAGTCTTTTGGAAATAATCCCAGGCTGTATCTTTGTGAAATGACTGATTTAATAGGAGGTTGTAGCTGGATAATTTCTCTGGCCTTCATGGCTCCCCTGTTAGGCAGTAGACTAATGGAGGAGGAGCAGGTAAGGCTGGCCTCCTAACAGCTGTGCTGAGAGGCACATTTTCCGCTGAAGTAGGGGTTGTGAAGTAGCGCTGCCTTTGAAACGTTGAGCTTTCCTCTAATTGCTCAAAATGTCTCTGGTTTAGAACCTGGGTGAATGGCAAGAAAAGTGGACGGGGCTGACTCGTCTTGTGGACCAAAACGAAGACGGTCTATGCTGAAGAAATGACATGGCTCTGGCCTCAGCTAAATTTGTGAGGTTTTTCCTTGTGGCAGAGCTTGTGGGGAGGCAAGAATACAGCCAACTGCTGCGTAGCCAGGACGGAGGCTCTCCCATGGCAGCAATCTGCCTGTATCGTGCGGCACCTGTGGACAGGTAGCACAGTCCGTGCAGCCACAGGCTGAAAAGCTGGTGAGTTATGCAGCATTGGCACCAGCTCTTTTGGCAGCACAGACGTTCGCAAGGAAATTGCCCTCAGAAACATTTCAGGAATGAGAGTACTTTGGAGGGGTTCCCTAAATCTTATTTTTTGCCCCATCATTCTCCGACTTGAGCTGTAAAATTTACTGGTTGCTCAGTTCTGGGTAACTACAATGGCAGCCAAACTCCGTATGGTTTACTCTGATATCCTCTACTGAGCTTTTTTTTTCTTTTTAAAGTATGAAATGCTTATATTTGGATTTTAACAGAATTTATGTAACTACAGGATGAAAACAAACCAGAACAAAATACCAGACACAAAAGAACAGTATTGAAATATTACTATAAAGTTTAGGGAAGTCTTCATCACTGAAATGGGTGCGTGAGTGCTTTTTTGTACGCTGCGCTTGGAAAATCGAGTATCTCTTGGGCATTTGGAGCCTTTGAATTTGTAGTGACCAAAGGCAGAAGGTGAACAGTGATCATCAGAAGCCTGGAGAGGTGAGGTACTATATAGCTCTAATGAGAAAAGAAGAGCTGTGGTGATATTTAATTGGTATTCTAAGCAATGCTTTTTTTTCCCAAATGACATTCTGATTTTGTTCTTCCTTTGTGCTTACAAAGCATCAAATTACCTGAAGTGCACAAAAATGAAAGCCTAATGAAATAACAGACTGAGAAGTATCAGCTCTCGGTTAATTTTCTGTATGTTTTTCAGATCAGCCCTACAAAACAAGATGTATGGGCACATCATTCTGACCACGTTTGTGCTGTTGGGTAAGTTACTAAAAAAATCAGTCATTTGGAAAATATGTAGAACAAAGCGTAATTACCATTTCTGTTTTATGGTGGTGCTTCAAGTCATGCTACTGGGTTAGTATTTAATCACAACATGCAACTAGAATATACAAAGGACTCAATGTTATTGTGTGGAATTGAAGTGTTGACACTGTCAAGTTTGTGCCTGTGCCCAAAGGGCAGCTCAACTGACTTTTTAAATTAGGAAACCTCAGCAGAAAGTATGTGCTGAGTCAAGGCACATTCAAATAAATGCCCCAGTCAAAATTTGTTAAGGTGGAAGTTCACGGGCAGTTTGTTTTGTTGCCTTAATAGGTCCAAAAGTGGAAGGAAAATCCCAGTTCCGTCAGAGCTGCTTGGTTCAGTGCGGTCAGGGTGTCACTTGGTGTTGGAGCTCTGCTTTTTTAGGTAGCTGACATTCCTACTTTGATGTGCGCAGTGCTCTTAAGGGGTGCTCAATTAACCATGAATGTTGGCTGTAATAAACTGGTTTTCTAATTGGGGAATGGCTGTAACAATACCAGTATATGCTGCTCAGGGACAGCTGGTATCTGCCTTGCTTTTTTTGGTTAAAAGAACTATATTTGAAGACTTTTGCTGATGATGCTTAGGAAGGAAACCGGTGCTGTAATCCAATGAAATTAGTTTCAAAATTTGTGTCATCTTTTGTCTTTCCAAAAGATGAATAAACCATTAGATTTCTGTAACTTTTTGTATACATATGCATCTTTACATACATGTGTTTCCTATATACATACACATCTGTCTTTCTATATATGTACCTCTGTCCACTCAGTATCAAATATTGTGTTATCAACATTATTCTTTTAAATAACTAATATAATCTAAACATCTTATTTCTTTTAATTAAGTAACCTGCATGCCTCAGGGAGTTTTTGTGAGGCTTTAGAGGAGTTTGTCACCATCTGATGGCCTGTAATGACTGAAAGTCAGTGTCTTTATTGAGTGGCCATCCTCATCTGATTCCGAATAAGCAAATAGCCGTGGCTGGCATCTTTGTCCTTTTTTAGTCTTATGTTATGGACTGATACTCTGGGCAGCTGAATCTTCCATGTGCAGCCAGGAGGCCTAATGAAACTGATATTTATGGAGACATAACCCCTGTTAAATGAGCGAGGAGGAAAGAGCAGAACCCTTCAGGAGCCTGGTAGTACAAAATCTGTGTAGAGAGGAAGTGGGACGCTTTAACACACTGCACAGTAACGCAATGTCTGCTTTTAAAGGAGCATACATCTGCTTCTTTAAAGGCTTTCATTCTGTGCTTTTATATTATTTAGCTTATGCTTATGTGGTGTTGATCAAACAGTGCTAGAGAAATTATTTTTCTCTTATTTGGGCTATTGGAAGGCATAGAGCATCAACTAATTTCAGCGTAATGAACTAGTTAAAATATTTATGCCCTTATGAAGAGCTAAATGCAAAGTGCACAGATGACCCACGTGCCTTTCTGTAGCAAGACCTTAATCTTTGAAATTCACGCAGTGTTTTACAGTACGCTGTTTCCAAAACCAACATGCTCATCATTTTTAAAATCATTGTTTGAGCTGTGACTTACCAATGAGAGCGACAAATGTGGTCAGAGAGATTTTATTTTGGAGAATCTAAGTCTGATGGAGAAGATTATTCTTTTCCTACATCTCATTTCCCAGATAATGTCCTGGGGTTGCGCAGCTACATCCAGTCCTATATTCTTGTAATACTATTCTTTGCTATATAACGGTTACTGTGTGACTATGTGTTATACTTACAGTGGGATTATTGTTTTCTCCAGTAATGGAGCTGTGTTGTAGGAGCTGGATTGCAAATGTCCCAGCACTGCAGGGGGGATGAGACTCATGCCTAGATAGTGTGTGAACTTCGGTTTAGGATTCACTGTGTTTTGAATTAATAGAAGCCGACTTACCCCAAAGAGAAGCTTTCCCTA